CCATATAGGAGGATTGATATTACATAGCAGTTCAGTACTTTTTTCATTGTTTCTCTTGCCTCAAGTCTTCTCTTCATCTGTGAGGAAATTGTCCAGCATTCCTGCCATATAGGAGGATTGATATTACATAGCAGTTCAGCACTCTTTCATTGTTTCTGTTGCCTCAAGTCTTCTCTTCATCTATGAGGAAATTGTCCAGCATTCACTGCCATATAGGAGGATTGATATTACATAGCAGTTCAGCACTCTTTTCATTGTTTCCTTATGAACGGTTAGATTCCTTAAAACATTACCTGATTGAATACACTAATTTTTCCCCTCAATATGTCCTGCTGAATTGGGCGGGGGCATTTAATACGCCAACGCATCCTCTATGCCCTCAAATACAGTATATATAGGCAGATAGTTAGACAGCGAAACAAAGTTAAGGTGATAGACACAGCGCTCTTTTGGACTCACGATTTCATCTGACTTGAAGTGGAGAGGCTGCATTGAATCAATGCCTTCATATACTGCAAGGAAAGTTGGGTCACTCGCCAGAGTCCTTCTTGCGCATTTACAACTCTACCAATCGACCGTGCATTGAATACTGTTACCATATCTGGTCTGGTGATTCTGCTATTCATCTCGTGGCTCTTGACAAAATCCAAAGAAGGATCTGTTATGTTATCGATCCTGTGTTGGCATCTTGACTTTTCAGCGAGATGACGTGGCTTTCCTCTGTCTTTTCTGCATATATATTTCATGGCAATTTTTCTGACTGTTTATTTTTTTCCGCTGGTGCCTCGACTACATGAATTAAAGCATGCTACTAGATTGGCGTGTAGGTCCCACTTGCCTTACTTTTGAAACAGCTAAATGCAACCGCCACTTCGACTCCAAAAGATTCTTTTCTCACACTTCACGGCTGCGTAACTGTATTCCTTTTACTTGCTAAACTAAAATCTTCAAAAATTTAAAAGCAACGTCAGTCGCAATCTTTTATCTTCTTATATCCCGTTCATCCTTTCCTCAATCAACCCTACACCCAGTCTTTTCTCTCGTTCTCACTCTTTGTAAACCCCTGTGTACTAGTGGCATTTTCACCTTCCTTTGGTTGAAAGAAGTGCAGACTATATAACCATTTACGGATCCTACCAATGAAAACGCCATCTAGACGATGCTTGTCCGACGCGGAGTTTTCGTAAACAAGCGTCTAAAGTTTATTAACCCCAATCCGGATCTAATTGAACCATGATTGGTCTTTAAAGAGAAAGGGTTATTTAGGGACCCCCAAACTGATGAGGTGTTGGGGAGGGGGTTCGGTCAGGTCAGTGAAGTGGGGCACTCGGCTGGTTTTAAATTGGGTAAATCCTTTTTGGCTGTGAATAGTTGCTTAATGCTATTTCCGGGTTGTGTTATCTTCGGCCGCCCGTCCCTCGCGCGACCGGCGCCCACCTCCCGAGACAACGGTAGACATAAATTTAACACGCACATAACTCTCGCTCGCCTCCCCCGCCCCCGCCACTTCTGCCCCACTTGGTACCGGTGCTCCCCTACAAAACATTCCAGCAGGTGAGGGTTGATAAGTTTAAAAGAAGTCGGTTGTTCGTTTATAGCCTCTCCAAGTGCAAACACCCAGCCACGCTTCTTTGCTTGTCGAGTTTGATGAACAAAAAATACAACGGAGATTTAAATAGTTTCATCAGAAGTGAAGGAGAAGTTCTTCTCCGTTTAGTAAGAACATCATATAAAAACATGATTAGAAAAAAATGTTTAGCTTCTTCTTCTTCTTCTTCTTCTTCTTCTTCTTCTTTTTTTGCATTCTTTTATTTTTCTTCTTGCATTTCTTCTTCTTCGTCATTCTAAATTCGCGTATTCGTGTTCTTACATTCCTTTTACTTCTTGAGTTTCTTCTTTTTCTTCTCCTTCTTCTTCTTCCTTTTGTTTGTACCCCAACATTTTATCTTTGTTCCTCTTTTTCATGCATTTCTTCTTCTTCTTCTTCTTCATCATCGTCTTCTTCTTCTTCCTTTTGTTTGTACCTCTACATTTTCTCCTTTTTTTCCACTTTGTCATGCAATTATTCTTCTTCTTCTTCGTCTTCTCCCTTTTTGTACCTCTGCTTTTTCATCTTTTTTCCTCTTTTCATGCATTTCTTCTCCTTCTTCTTCTCCTTCTTTTTCTTCTTCCTTTTGTTTGTACCTCTACATTTTCACCTTTTTTTCCTCTTTTTTATACAATTCTTCTTCTTCTTCATCTTCTTCTTCTTCTTCTGCCTTTTTGTACCTCTGCTTTTTCATCTTTTTTTCCTCTTTTCATGCATTTCTTCTTCTCCTCCTCCTCCTCCTTCTTCTTCTTCTTCTTCTTCTTCTTCTTCTTCACACCCCTTTGTTGTCGGTGTCTGTGGCGTTAACACTTTGTTTTTTTTTAATTTTCTATTTTTTAAGTGATGCACCAAATATCAATGTTGTGGATCTCCCGTCGCCATTGAAGAGAACCGATATAATGGCTTCTATTTCTTATCTGACCCATCAATTTTCATTTAAGGTTTCTACTTTTTTGTAGTGTATTATTCTCATACTCTTTGTGCTTTCGCGCCATGCTGGGGATCAAGTGAAATCAAACCAACTCAATACACCAGAACCTTCCTCAGTATTCGAAATATTTAAACAATTCTGTCGTTTGAATGGCTTAAAATCTTCCTCAGAATTCCAAATCTTCCAGCATCTTTGTAAAACTTTAAAACGTCTATCCAAGCTCTCCAATTATGATGGGCTTCAGAGGTCACTTTCATGTTCCACTCTTTTTCTTTTACCTTAATTTCTTTCGTAGATATTATTCAAGCTATCCATGTTCTTTAATATGACTATATTAGCGACAAAAGCCTAAAGCCTTCTTTTATTCACGATTACGAAATTTGGTATGAATAGTGTGATCTTTTTTTTTTTTTTAATCATTTTACCACAAGCAAGGCAACAAAGCCACTAAGACGCCAGCGATTACTGAGCGTGAAGGAAACTGAAAATGTTATTGGTGAAAAATTTAAAATAAAATAACAGCGTTCAAGGTGACCGAGGTTGACAACTGACATTGTATTTAAATTTTTGAAGATCATAGTTGGCCAACAAACATGAAACCGAAAGTGAGTTCCACAGGCTAGAAGTGCAAGAGAAGAAACTACTAGAATAGAACTTACGGTTACATCTAGCTATTTCAATATCAAAACGGTGTGGGACCTAATTGGCAGTCTAGTAGTGCGCTTCAATTCGTGAAGCCGAGTTAGTTTACTTAATTCGTAAAAGCTCATCAGAAAACTCGTTATGAAAATATTTACAGAAAAGGCTACGTTACGGCGATTGGAAAATGAGTGTAACCGAGATGCCAGGTCAAGACAAATAATATTGCACATCTCTTCTTTAGATTTTGTCAAGAAACTCATTATTTAATTCGGATATGGTTGATGATTCTCCACATTTACAATTTTACTGTAACTTTTTTCTTTCTTATCGTTTCTTTTCCTTCTTTCTTATGCTTGTTTTTTCATTTGTTCTTTTTTTTTCTTTTCTATTTTCTTCTATTTTCTTTCTTTCTTAGCCTTTCTTTTCTTTCATTTTACACATTTCTTTCTTCCTTTCTTTCTTAAACTTCGTTTTCTTTCTTTCTTAGAGTTTCCTTTCTTTCTTTCTTTCTTTCTTTCTTTCTTTCTTTCTTTCTTTCTCACTTACTTATTCTTCTCTTTCCTTCTTTCTTACTTTTCTTTTTCTTATACTGTTTTTCTTTCTTTCCTTGTTACTCTTTTCTTTCTGCCTTTCTTTATTTTTCCTACACATTACTTTCTTTCTTTCTTTCTTTCTTTCTTTCTTTCTTTCTTTCTTTCTTTCTTTCTTACCCTTTACATTATTTTTTCCATTTTTTTCTTCCTCTATTCTTTCTTTTCATAAATTTTCATCTTCCTAGTCTTCCCTCTCTATTTATCTTCTTTTATTTATTTTTTTTTTGGGGGGGGGTTCATTTTTTTATATTAGCTTATTCGGAAAATAATTTTATAATAAACCTTTTGCATTTTAATGTATTATTTCAATAGATATACACAAATATATAATTCGATATTATTATTATAATTTCATATTATTATATATTATTTCAATAGATATACACAAATATATAATTCGATATTATTATTATAATTTCATATTATTATATATCATTTCAACAGATATACACAAATATATATTTCTATATTATTATTATAATTTCATATTATTATATATTATTTCAATAGTTATACACAAATATATAATTCTCTTCAAATAATTAAAGTCCCCTCTTTGTCAATTCTATATCAATCTCTTACAGAATTTAACTTAAGATATTATATACCCGACTCGTTTTAAACATGAAACAGAAAAGGGACCATTTACTTTTTTGCATGTTCAAGTTTGGTCATAAGGCTAAAAGGGAAAAGCTGTTGCCAACATTAATTTACATGGGGGTGAAGGATATTTCAGGATCGGACTGTACGGCGCTAGTTTCTGAAGTTCCGCAGCGGGGATACGAGTCTTGAAAATCACGGCCGTAGAGGACGTCCATCTGCAATACACTAGTCGAACAAAACCCACGTCAAGGTGTCAGCATTTCAACAGTATCTTTTTCTTTTCTGTTTTTAATAACTAATTATAAACGACTATAGACGCAAGGAGGAGATGGAAAGAAAGCGAGAAAAACTAACTGAGAACAATAAGAGAACAGGATTCAAGGAGAACCAAGTTGCTAACTGACATGGCGTTTAAATTTTTGAAGATCGTAATTGACAGACAAGCAAGAAACTGAAATTGGCAAAGTAAAAAAAAAAAAAAAAAACTCGATAAATGGCTTCCAGATGAGCTTAGTGAAAAGTTAGAGTTCGATGTTTTGAAGTGTGTTCGAAGCTTCATCTGCGAAATTCAAATGATCCTTGATCAAATTGTGACTTGTGATATGAAATGGATCCTTTATGACTATTATAACCGATCAATTCAATGACTTCTTTCTTACAATTTCTTTTCTTTCTTTCTTTTTTTCTTCTATGTGCGATATTTCTTTCTTTCTTATCCTTAGGTGCGTTCTTCCTTTCTTTCTTCCTTTTTTTCTTTCTTTCTAATTTGTTCTTAATTTCTTTCATTCTTACGCTTCCTTTCTAAGTTACTTTTCTATTTTCTTATACTTTCTTTCTTTCTTTCTTTCCTTCTTTCTTTCCTTTCTTTCTTTATTTCTTAATTTTTCTTACACTTTCTTCCTTTCTTTCCTTCTTAGACTTTCCTTTCTTTCTTTTTTTCCTTATTATCTCTTACACTTTACTTTCTTTCTGTTTTTCTTTATTTCCTTTTTATACTTTCCTTTCTTTCTTCATTTGTTTTCCCTACGCCTTTCTTTTCTTTCTTTCTTTCTTTCTTTCTTTCTTTCTTTCTTCCCTCTTTACACTTTCCTTTCCTTCTTAAACTTTCCTTTCTTTCTTCATTTTTACTTTCCTTCCTTCTTTCTTTCTTTCTTTCTTTCTTACACTTTCCTTTCTTTTTTTATTTTTCTTACACTTTACTTTCTTTCTTTCTTACACTTTCTTTCTTTTTTCTTTCTTTCTTTCTTTTTGTATTTATTTTTCTTAAAATTTACTTTCCTTCTTTCTTTTATCTTTCTTTCTTTCTTTCGTGCAGTATTCTTTCTTTTTTACAATACTCCTTCTTTCGATACACCCCTAACACTTTCTCAAACCTAGATTTCACAGACAGAAAATTATGGTGACTGTCTGGTGTTCTGCCATTGGCATTATCCATTATAAAACGGTGAAATCTAATCAGATTAACACTGTCGAAGTTTAATGCCAGCAAACCGAATGAAATGTACATCCAATTAAGCAAAATGCGACCGACAATGCTCGGTCACATGTTACCAGAATGACACTAAAGATGATGACATGTTTTGGGATACGAGACTTTGCCACAACCACTATATTCTCTGATATTTCGCCTCGTTCACTACTCACTACCATTTTTTCAAGCATCTTGATTTTTTTTTTAGCGTCAAAAGACATCCCATTGCAAAGAAGATTCAGAAACTGTATTCAAAGATTTTCGACGCCCAAAATCTTTCGAGACATAAATAATCTTGTAACTCCATGGCAGAAATTTATAGATGATCAGGGTTCTGATTTTGACTGGTTTTAAACGTTATTTAATTACATTCTTTCAGGAATAAAAGTTAATTCTAAAATCGGACATTATTTTCCGAACGACCTAATATCTTCTTTACAAATGTTTTTGACTTTTCAATAATAACATAATTTTGTAAACCATTTATTATTGCAGATTATGGTGACTGTCTAGTGGTCTACGGCTGACGTCATCCATTACAGTTTTCTGGAATCTAACGCAGTTTACTGCCAGCAACAGGATGAAATGCACATGCAGTTAAACAAAATGCAACCGGCAATGGTTTGTCGCGGCCGTCATTGGCCGTTCCTTAGAAAAACAACCATCACCTTCAAAACACCTGATCTCGATAGACAAATAAATGGTGTTTCATTAAGAGGGATCAAAGTCATCAGTAAATAAATCAGTTTTATTGGCAAAAAAATATTTATTTCTCTATTGGATCATGTTATTTCAATCATGGCAATTATGTGTGAAAAATAAAATAGATAGATAGTGTTATTTTTTATTTTTATTTTTTTTTAAGCGTTTCACCCCAAGCAAGGCGGAAAGCCACTAGGACTTTAAGGGTTACAGAAAATTTGAGCAAGGTCAGATACGAGTGATAGAAGAAAGGATGAGGAGAATAGTAGTGGATAGATCAAGGCAACTGGAGATACAGAGGCCAGTGAGAAAGAGAGAGAGAAACACTGGTGAAACCATTTTTCCTAAACAAGAAACAAGGCGGAAGCCTCTATCATGTCCAAGAGAAGGGGAGAAGAGTGGACCGGGCGGTCTTAAAAATACCTACTCCATGGGAACTTATCTGTTATAATAATAATGGACTATTCCTGACATTATAATACTACGCCTCTCAAGAGGTAAGACGAGGAGAGATAATTGAGAGCATATTGTAAGGACATTGGAATAATGATATTTGTCGAGACAAATATAGTTCACTCTAACCAAATCTGATAGTCATTACTAAAGGGATACTTCTTTTGTATTATATTTCTGTTGTAATATATCTTTGTATTCCATACCTGTGTTCGTGTTATTCTTTCATTGGTTCTAACCTTGGACCATCACCGTGGAACAAGGAACTTGAACCATAACAGATAGATAGATAGATAGATTATTTCGGTCTATTTTTGTTTATTTTTGCGAGATTTGACGATATTTGCCTATGGCCAATTTGTCTTTTCAGGCAAATAAATCAAGAGCATTTTATAGCGACATATATCTGACAGTTTATTGCTGTATATGTTTAAAAGCATTAGACCTTGAGTAATATTTTTAACGTTGTTTATAAAAACGAAACCGCCGTTAACAGAAAATGGCGGTTTTCGTTCTGGCGATAACTGTCACTGAAATTGATAATGGAAAGAATTCAAGAAATGGTCCCGAGAAAACAATAAGCGTGACAATGAGTGAAGTCACGAAAGAGGATAGAGACGGAATTATTTTCAATGGAGTTAAAAGTGAAGACTTAAAGATGAAATTTTTGGAAAGAATGATTGGAAAGGGACTTATCAGGATTAACAAGTGATTAACATGGAAAATGAAGCTGAAGATTGAACGCACAATGAAGGGAAAAGAATGCAAAAAACTGTAGATCTATGTACATACCATCGAATTTCCAGTAAAATATAGTCCGGTGAATTTTTAATCCGGACATATATAAACGCAAAATGAAAGAAAGTGGATAGTTTCGTTTATTTTGTTTTACGGCATATCAACCTCAATTGGTTATTTAATGCTGACAACATTTTTAGGATAGATTCGTATGAATAGAATATGTATTCTTTGGTTTAAATTGGTTTGGTTTATTTTGTTTTAAGGCATATCAACCTCAATGGGTTATTTAATGCCGACAACATTTTTAGGATAGATTCCTATGAATAGAATATGTAGGATTTTGGTTTAGATTGGTTTGTTTTATTTTTGTTTTACGGCATATCAACCTCAATGGGTTTTATTTAATGCCTGACAACATTTTTAGGATAGATTCGTATGAATAGAATATGTATTCTTTGGTTTAGATTGGTTTGGTTTATTTTGTTTTACAGCATATCAACCTCAGGGGTTATTTAATGCCGACAACATTTTTAGGATAGATTCAAAAATATGAATAGAATATGTATTCTTTGGTTTAGATTGGTTTGGTTTTTTTTTTTTTTTACGGCATATCAACCTCAGGGGGTTATTTAATGCCGACAACATTTTAGGATAAATTTATTATGAATAGAATATGTATTATTTGGTTTAGATTCAAAAATTGATTTTGTTTTACGGCATATCAACCTCAATTGGTTATTTAATGCTGACAACATTTTTAGGATAGATTCGTATGCATAGAATATGTATTCTTTGGTTTAGATTGGTTTGGTTTATTTTGTTTTACGGCCTATCAACCTCAATTGGTTATTTAATGCTGACAACATTTTTAAGATAAATTCGTATGAATAGAATATGTATTCTTTGGTTTAGATTGGTTTGGTTTATTTTGTTTTATGACATATCAACCTCAATGGGTTATTTAATGCCAACAACATTTTTAGGATAGATTCGTATGAATAGAATATGTATTCTTTGGTTTAGATTGGTTTGGTTTATTTTGTTTTACGGCATATCAACCTCAATGGGTTATTTAATGCTGACCACATTTTTAGGATAGATTCGTATGAATAGAATATGTATTCTTTGGTTTAGATTAGTTTGGTTTATTTTGTTTTACGGCATATCAAATTCAATGGGTTATTTAATACTGACAACATTTTTAGGTCGGGTGTGAGTTTGAAGCCCAATATTCAAGGTACGGAGCCTCCTCGGGGGTGGGGACATCCGCTCATCGTGACCCTTTTATTATATGAACCCTTTATAATGATCGCAAAATGCGAATAAGAAATCTGCTTATTTATTTACGTACACCGATTTTACGGCAACTTTTTAATCCGGAAATATATACTTTCTTTGACAGAGGCCTTGGGAAAAAGAGTTTTAGCGTCCAATGAGGGCTTATTTGAGTGTTGTATTTCAAGAAATTTCTTAGTGGAATTAGCACCTTATTTATTGCATAAATATAACAGGAGCAATTGGCTGAACGGTTTGGATAATAAAGTGCTGCTCAGTTCTTTTAATAGCTGTAACATTTTATAAATTGTTCGGATTATCAGTAATTTTCAGATAAAGGTTGACAAACATCACTCGAGCTCAGGAAATGAAAACACATGCTGTTATTGTTGCCTTAAAGGCAAAGCATTGTGATTTCGAAATTTTTAAAATTCCTGACAGTTGCGCGGTGGTTTGTTCTCAAAGTTCCCAAAAAGCTGCAAGCCGCTGACGGGGATTCTACATCAGTAGACAAACGTAAAACACCTACTAAGGCTCCTAACATTATCAGAACACCCAAATTTGTACGAAAATGCAGAAAATTATCAATAAGAACCCTAGAACAGTTGTCGGCAACTTACGGCATGCGTGCCAAACAATGTCTAATGGTACACAGGCGTAAATGACATCAGAAAGTCCGAACCAATAACTACTATGACGCAAAGTAGATACTTAGCTTAATTTTAATATATACTAAAGTATATATACTATATATTACTATATAAATATATTGTAGAACAGGTATATTGATCTTGACTTGTATAAAAATACGTATGCTGTTGAATTAAAATGCCGAATGATTTTAAAACCCAAAGTCGGCACATGTTAGACAATTTAAAACACCTACTAAGGGTCCTAATATTATCAGGATACCCAAATTTGTACGAAAATGAAGACGCAGATAATTATCAATAAGAATCCTAGAACAGGGGTCAGCAACTTACGGCATCTGTGCCAAGCAATTTACAATGGTACGCAGCCCCAAATAACAACACGAAATCCGAACCAATAACTACTAAAACACAAAGAAGATATTTAGCTATTTCAAAACTGCTCACTCGTTGGACTCCCATTAATAATAAAAACTAAAAACAAACTTTTAAAAACAGTTTATATCTATTAATGTGGTTTACATATTATTGTATATATTACTATATAAAATTTATTGTAGAACAGGTATATTGACCTTGACTTGTAGAAAAAATACGCATGCTTTTGGTACACTGAATGATTTTAAAACCCTCAGTCGGCACATAGTCTGTGAAAGGTTGCCGACCCCTCCCCTAGAAAGTCAGTTAATGCCATGGCTAAGGTTCAAAGTTCCAAGGCAATCTGTCGGAAGAATTGTACATGAAGACCTTGGATATAAATTATGTGATGCGGAGTGGCCAATTCATGTCTGCAAAGACAAAAGATTACCGTCTGATCCGTGCAAAGCGGTTGTTGACCAAGTTGAAAAATCAAGGATTTTGAAATGCATTGTTTTGTTTTTTTCTCTGATGAGGAAATAAATATATCTACCCAGTTACGTATGCTGACGGAAACAACAATTTCTAAAGAGAGGAATGGATTTTGTTTATTTAGTGATCCAACAGATTTTTATTACTTAAACATTATTTTTAGAGGATACTCGTATTTGAATAGACGTTCGGTTTATTTATTAAACGGTAAATTTATTTATTTATTTTTATTTATTTATTCATTTTACCTGTTCGAGAAATCTGTCGGAATAATGAATCAAAAATCGCTTCCTTTCTGTAGAAAATGCCTTGTTTAAAGTAGAATATTTAACAGATCCGATATGTTTATTTCGAGAGACGGAGAATAATTCTGTGTTTACAAGCAGCATTCAAACTTTGCTTGTCTATCGGCGCGCTTCATAGACGAGAAGTCAAAGGACGTCAGACCTAATGAGGTTTTCTCCTAGTGGAGCGTGAGTTTGAATCCTGCCGGAAAGCGCATCTATTTTGCTTGTCCATCGACGGGCTTCATAGACGAGAAGTTCAAGCATGTCAGCCCTAATGACGTTTTCTCCTAGTGGAGAATTCCTCGTAAACCCCGTAAAAACGGAGTCAGGTAGGTATTTCCCGAGACGAGACTCTGCTTTTCAACATAGCCCCGTCAGGCAGAGAGCTTAACCAGCTCAGCTGAGGACGAATCTCCAACTGCAGCATAAGAAGATAATATTATTGCAGCGTTTTCTCTGAGTATTGAAAACTAGTCCCAGTCCATTTATGTGCAGTGCCTTCCAGACCCCACACCGCAACACTTTTATTGATACATTACAGTCGATTAAGAAAAGTTTTATGTATTATCACATAAGATATGTCACATTAAAACAACATTAATTGTTATGATTAACAAACTGTTAAATATGTTCAGTATGTCTCCATAATTCAAATAATTATATTGAAGTTTTTCGGTTCTTGTTTTTGAAACATGAAGAACTTCTTATGTCACATTACTCCAAATTTGGAATCATATTTTAAATAAATAATTATATATATAAATATATATATATAGTCTAAAATATATATATATATATATATATATATATATCATCCTTTATAAGACACCGGATTGTTAAAACAAAATTCCTATATTTTTGTAGTTATTTTATAACATATTTATAGGACTGTTTTTTAAATAAATATATTATATATATATATATATATATATATATATATATATATATATATATATTTTTTTTTTGTTTTTAGGCATCAATCCTTCGTTTATGCATATTTCATTTAAAACGACAGACAAGTTACTACGGTTAAGTTTTTTATTTAATTTTTCTTGTGTTCGAACAAGAGCTTTCTTTTCTGAACAAAGAGTGTGTAAAAACTGTCCAAATGTTTTATAGTTCCAAGCGCTTTCGGCTATACCTTTAGCCATTATCAAGGATGATTCAATTTTTCAGCTTAAATGAATGTGTGCATTATGTGTATATCTTAGTGTGTAGTAGGGATGTTTTAATTTCCGAATACGGTTAGCACATTGTGGCCTTGTTCGTAGTTAATATTATTGAGAGTTTTTTTTTCTTTTTTTCATTATTAAAGCTTCCATTATTTTTAGTCTTTTTTTTGCAGGTGGATGCAGTTAATATATTTGTGTTTTCTACTAGTATGTTTCTAATGGATTCTGGTAAGTTTGTGAGTGTGTTTAAATGGGTTCTAATGGAGCTGTGATCAGATAAGTGTAACGTAAGCCGTCTGGATAAGCATGTTGTGTAACCGATGTAATTATTTATTAGTCCGGTTTGATCAGGAACACAGTTCCTTAAGGGGCATTTGAACTCAGAGAAAACTCAATATATATACACGTTAGATTCTATGACAATATTACTTATAAAAATAGAGATAGATACAATAATTTTTCCAAGTTCTATCTAAACAACTGAAACATTTTCCAGGTTTCATCTCTTTAAACGTTTTACAGTTTTTATCAAAAGGAACAATTTACAGGTTTTAACTAAGATTCTTTAATGTTTTCTAAGTATGAACGTTTTCCAGGTTTTATCGGAATAACTTAGACATTTTCCAGGTTTGATCTCTTTAAATGTTTTACAGTTTTTATCAAAAGGAACAATTTACACGTTTTAACTAAGATTCTTTAAGGTTTTCTAAGCATGAACGTTTTCCAGGTTTTATCTAAACAACTAAAATATTTTCCAGGTTTTATCTCTTTAAATGTTTTACAGATTTTATCAGAAGGGACATTTTAGAGGTTTTAACTAAAATTCTTCTAGGTTTACTAAGCATGAACGTTTTCCAGGTTTTATATAAACAACTTATATATTTTCCATGTTTTATCTCTTTAAATGTTTTACAGATTTTATCAGAAGGTACATTTTACACGTTTTAACTAAGATTCTTTCAGGCTTTCTATGCATGAACGTTTTCCAGGTTTTATCTAAACAACTCATATATTTTCGAAGTTTTATCTCTTTAAACGTTTTACAGCTTTTATCAGAAGATACATTTTACACGTTTTAACTAAGATTCTTTAAGGTTTTCTAAGTATGAACGTTTTTCAGGTTTTATCTAAACAACTAAAGCATTTTCCAGGTTTTATCTATTTAAACGTTTTACTCTCTTTTTATCAAAAGGAACATTTTAGAGGTTTTAACTAAAATTCTTCTAGGTTTACTAAGACACATGAATTTTTTCCAGGTTTTATCTAAACTCATATGTTTTTATAAAGTTTTATCTCTGTAAAACGTTTAAGTTTTTACAGATTTTATCAAAAAATTTACATTTTACTCCGATTTTCTTTTTAAGATTCTTTTGGTGTTTTTATTAAGCATGAAGGTTTTTCAGGTTTTATCTAAACAACTAAAATATTTTCCAGGTTCTTTGTCTCTTTAAACGTTTTACAGATTTTATCAAAAGAAATATTTTACAAGTTTTAATTGAGTAAGATTTTTCCAGGTTTTCTAAACGTGGGCGATTTTCACGTTTTATCTAAACTAAAACATTTTCCAAGTTTTATCTATGTAAACATTTTACAGATTTTAACAAAATATATATTTTCCAGGTTTAAACATTTTTCTTTTTGATTTATTTAAACATTTTATTATAATTAAAATTATCAGGTTTTATCTATTTAAACATTTTACAGATTTTATCAAAATAAACTTTTTGCAGGTTTTATCTAATTAACTAAAACATTTTACCAGTTTTATCTATTCAATCATTTTGCTGGATTTATCAAAATGAACATTTCATAGGTTTTTTATCTAAATAAATAAGGCAGTATTGACATTAGTTTAAATAACTTCCTAAATTTTTATATATTTTTTAAAAATTAAATAAATATCCGTTAGTATTAGGATAATTTTTTTTAAATTAAGACCGATGGTTTTGAGGATAAAATCGAATCTCTGAATGGATGACGACTCAAAAGAATCGAATTCCTCGGAAATCATTTCTGAGACGACGACGACGTTTTAAATGAATTATTGCGCAAAATAATATAGCAATCAAGATGGCCCACCAGGGGAACATCGTTTATAAAAATCATAAGAAAGCGGTTTTTATGGGAAATTTTACATTAATTGATGTCTGCCGTTCGTTGTAAGTGAATCGTCAAAATGGCTGAGGTAAAAGGAGAGGGAAAGTTGAAGGAGGATTAATTGTGTATTGAGCAGATAGATAGATAGATAGATAGATAGATAGATAGATAGATAGATAGATATGAACACACTCTGATCGACAGAGATATATAAACATTGACATAGATAGATAGATAGATAGATAGATAGATAGATAGATGAATTTAATAAATATGAACATGGTTCTGATCGACAGAGATATATAAACATTGACATAGACAGATAGATAGATAGATAGATAGATAGATAGATAGATATATGAACATACTCTGATCGACAGAGATATATAAACATTAACAAATAGATAGATAGATAGACCTATAGAATAGATAGATTGTTACAATAGATAGATATGAGCAGACTGAATAAAATAATAAAAGCAGACTGAGATAGATTATATGAACAAACTGATCGATAGAGATATATGACTATTGATATATATATATATATATATATATATATATATATATATAGATTAGAGAGAGAGAAGATTTAAGATAAAGAGGGGAGGTAGAGAAAGAGGGAGACAAGCAGGCTTCAAAACACCCAAAATAAAATAAATCGATAACCAGATTGATAGAAACTCATAACCTTTCTGCTACTTTCCAAAAACCATTTTCGCCCATTAAATGTCATATAAATATTTGTATGTTTGGCACTTATCTATTTCCATCACTTCAAAAAGTAAGCCTGATGATTTCTACGGGATTTTTTTTTTTTTTCTGTTTTCTTCGTCCTCGTTTCGATTATGATAGCCATTTAGCCGGCAGTTTGGGTTGGGGTCTGAGAAACGTGGAAGTAACGGCGGGAAAATATTGCGTCAAATAGATGAAAAGGAGGCACGTGATTGGTTAATGAAAAACGATCGTTTTTCGCGTCACCGTCTACCCAACTGTTTGTCCCCAGATGCGTGGCAGGAAATGAATTTCCCGCCATCTTGAAATTAATAGCGATAGAGAGTCGGCCATTATGCAAGTAATAAACGAAGTTTGGTATTTGATATTCTTCAAGTTAAATGCTGATATTTAACGGTTCTTGCTAAAGGATCTATCAAGCACAAACAACAAGAATATATATCTATATATTTATATATATATATATATATATATATATATATATATCTTTGTAATGTGTGTGTTAAACATATATATATATATATATATATATATCAATATATTATATATAAATATATATATATATATGATTTATATATATATATATAATAACCGGGCTTCGATATATATATATATTATATATTCGGTGTTATATATATATAAAAATGTAGAAAAAAAATTTATTTTTTAATGAATTTTTATATAATGAATATATATATATATATATATATATATGATATATCTAAACATTAAAATATATATCATGTGTGTGTGTGTGTTTTTAGGGCGCAAATACATTTTATATATATATAATATATAAATATATATATTTAATCATAAAAAAATATATATTATAATAAATTATATATATATATATATATATATATATATATATATATATAAATATCTAGAATATATATTTTTCCAAGATATATATAATAAATGTGTATATATATAAATATATATATATATATATATTGATATATATATAATATGTTAATATACATAAATCTTATAATTCGTTATTTTGTTGAATTAGCTTACCAAACAAAAGTTTCAGATTCTGAAAAAAAAAAAAAAAAATAAATCGTTTTATTACGAAGATATTCAGATTTGTGATTAACCCTACACAGCCAACACCAACACCGCATATTATACAATTTTTTTTTATAAATGAATCATATATATATATATATATATATATATATATATATATATATATATACTATATGCATCGACAGTTGTACATTCTCAGGATTCATCCTTTTTTGTCCCAAGGCTGATAAAGTTATGGGCAAAAACAGAACCATTTATTTAACATAAATTATTTTTTATCTTGTGATATCTTTCGACATTTACATAGCTTGAAGTATTTTTTATTTTAAAACTAGCAGTAGAGCCCGGCGTTGCCCGGGAATGTAAAAGTAAGAGATAGATCAAGTATCGACCATCATAAAGACTGAAAAATAAAATTGACAAAGATTATTGTTTAAGGTTGACGGACACGCATGTCTTAGTTTTTTTTGTTTTTTTGTTTTTTACGAATTGGTCACCCCAATCTCAAACGAAAACATTGTTTTCAATCGTTATTAGTCTACCGATTGAATAGAATTTTATTATAAACAATTGTCTTGTAAATGGAATTTTTAAAGCATTCTGAATGTAAAAATAAAAAAAAAAAAGTGTGCAAGACAATAAAAACACTATCTGCCAAAAAAAAAAGTGAAGTTTTGTTGAAATCGGTTGAAAAATGTAGGAAATCCGATCCCATATAAAAACGAACACACACACACAAACAACCTGGGTTTTATAATAAGTATAACTCGATATGAGTTGTCCCCCTTTCATTCTCACGATGCCTCTTAATCGTGTTTTCAAATTGATTTCGTGCAAAAACAATTGTGTTTTTCCAATTTTGGGCGCTGTCAGAACCACCACAAGGTAATTTTACATAGTGTGAAGTTTTGTTGAAATCGGTTGAAAAATGTAGGAAATCCGATCCAATATATAAACGTACAGGCACACACACACACACACACACACACACACACACAACCTGAGTTTTATAATAATATCTGTTTTGTTTTTCAATAAAAATATTCTTTTAAGAAATATTTTACTATTTATTGCAAACCAAATTAGTACGTATTTCAACGCAACCATAATGAAAAAAAAAACGGAGTTTTTATAACCAGCGCGCACGCGCGATCTTTCGCGAATCCCTTGACTCTTCAGGTTTGGAGGGTCACCAAATGTACTGCAACCGCAGTAGAAGTGGGCAAGATAGCCTGACAGAACCCAACCCTCTCCAGCCGAAATATAATAATAAAACAGTCAAAATAAATATGAATTTGTCAAATTGATATCATTTCAGTTTATGAAACTATTTAGAAGTTATAACATCAGGAAAATTGGGCACCTCGACGTGGTGTAATGGTTAGGAAGCTTGTCTTGCTAGATCAATTACGACTGAGTAGTGAGTTCGATCCTCACTGGGTACCCCATACTTTCGGCCTTGTGCCACATCTAAGCCGGGCTTAGAAAATCGCTATAATATCAAGAAAATTAAAATCATTGTTTTATAAAAACTTGAGAAGCCCCAGGCTGCAACCTATACTAGCCTCAAGGATAATCCGTCCTTGTATGTACAAAGCGTCAGGGAGAAAAGTGAATTTGTAAACAGTCACTATTACTGCTGCTGAAGCAAGACTCTTCGTTAAGACGAATTGAGTTCTCGAGTCACTAGCGTGTTTATCTAAAAAAATAAATACGTCTAAATTCAACTTCATTCATCCTGTGCGCCAGTGGCCAATGGGTAGATTCTCCACCTAATACCAAATCGGTCAGGTTTCGATCGGCAATCGGATGTCTAGCCCCTCTGATGAGCTGCGAAACAGTCTGTCTGTGGACTAATATATATATATATATATATATATATTAAAAAAAAAACAGACCACTTTAAGGTACCATTATAATAATTTATTTCACCAGAGTCCTTTTAAAGGACGCCGGATCATCAGATAGCACTTCCAAAAATGAAATGAAACGAAAAATGAAATTAAAATTGATGGGTAGTGTAAGTTTTTGTAATTTAACAGAGAGTGTAAGAGGGATAGTTAAAGAGACATGGTAGAGTTTAGGGAGGGATTAATTTCATATCTCTCTCAATCATATATATATATATATATATATATATATGAGGTATATTTTCATTCAAGCAGGTTTGGTTAATTAAATTTAAACTATTATGTCTATTTATTTTAGATTTAATCCTTTCAAGTCCACGAATTACTTTCTTGGTAGTTGTAGAGAATTGATTAAGAAAAATTCCAAAACTTTTCTTAGAAAACTTAGATTTCGTCAAGTCTGGGTCACTTTTTTTTATAATAGTCTGCGAATTATCCGCGAATTATTGGGAGTGATCGTTCGATTTGTAATCAACCGACATTGAGTAGATTTGTTTTCTTTTCTATTAGCTTGCATATGGCATTATCCAATTATTGCTTTTGGGGTTATTATGTATGTTCCTAGTAGTAAGATTATCACCGGGAATTCAGTGCATTTTCTCTTAAGTGAATCCAATTTCCTCCTGGTCAGATTGGCATTTATTGTCGAAATTACGGCCAGATGGCAAACCCCCAGTGCGATGCTCATATAATCATTTTTTTTTTTTTTTGCCGTTTCTGGAGGTTTCACCGATGTACATCATTGAGCATTTTGTACAGACTTTTCCGTATATTCCGGCTTTGTCTTGTTACTGTTGCCATTTCCTCCGCTAATCCGTAAGAAAAAGTTAGACACAGTTTTTTATCAACAGATTTCTACCATTCGTCGATACATTGAAAACTGCTGTCACATCTGATATGGTACTTTTGTTATCTATTTAGTGATTCTTCATAAAATACAAAGAAGAATCTGCAATGTTATTGCTCCTGACCTGGCATCTAGGATTCAGTCATTTCTTTTGCTTTTTTTTTTTATAAATATTTTCGTGGTCATTGTTCTGTTAGGCTTTCATCTTTGCTTCATTGACCTTATGAATTTAAGAGTTCTACTCGATTGGCGAAAAAATCTGATCATCTTACAGTTGAAATGGTTACATGCAGCCGTAAGTTCTAAGCTAACATTTCCTTCTCTCGCTCTTATCAAAAATATAAATGCAAATATCAAACGTTAGCTAATGTCTTCTTAATGTCTGCTCTTTTATTGTTCTCTCGCCTTAATAATGTTTTTCTTTTTCTCATATCCGCTCGCACTCGTCTTAGTAGCTTTATTGCCTTGCTTGAGGTGAAATCATTAAAAAGATCATGTAACTGGCATACAAATCTTGTCGGCATTAAATAACGCATTGAGGTTGATAAGCTGTAAAAGAAAGCAAACCAAAACAAACTACCATGTTTGACAATATATAAGACGCACCTTTTTTTTTTTTTTACTAAAATATCTTTTAAAATTCCCCTGCGTCTTATATGCCATATGTAGGTTTACTAATTTTACTAATTACTATTTTTTTCTTGATTTGCTCTGCTGAAATTGGGGTGCGTCTTATACATCCGTGCGTCATATATGTCGTCAAATAAGGTAATTAAATGTTCAAAAAATACTTCGGTCGTACATCTTAATAATGACATAAAGATTTTGACGATAAATCTTAGATTTCGTCAAGTCTGGGTCATATATATATATATATATATATATATATATATATATATATATATATATAGAGAGAGAGAGAGAGAGAGAGAGAGAGAGATAAAACAGTGTCTGCTGAAATGTTTCGCCCAAACAAAGAACTCTTTACCGAAAATTCATGACTATTATTATTATTATTCATGATTATTATACACCCAACACGCATGTGCGTGTGTACGCATGCGCATACCCACCCTGATCATGGTTGCTCAGTTCTTTGAAGAGAGTTGGCCATATTTCGTAAAATACGTATAAGTCATGAAAGAAGACCTTCAGTTGAGAAAGATTTGGCATGAATAATCTTGAGACCCTTCTTGACGCGTCTACTTAATTAATCCGCCATGGACACTTCAACGTGGTGTAACGGTTAACAATCTTGTCTCGCTAGATCAATTACCACTGAGAAGTGAGTTCGATCCCCACTGGATGTTCCATACATTCGGCATTGTGTCACATTTAAACTATGCTTCGCATATTACTAATGAATCCACCGCGAGCACTTCAATTTGGTGTGATGTTTGGCAAGCTTGTCTCGTTCGATCAATTACGATTGAGTAGCGAGTTCGATCCTCAATGGGCGCCGCATACTTTCAGCCATCTACGATTAGCAATTCACTATAATGAGTCCGCCATTAGCCTCGATGACTGCTTCAATACGAGGTCTGAAACGTTGACATGTCCGATCAAATTATCTATTTGGGACATTGTTATTGTGAACTTCAGAGATTGTATAGTTTTATGGTGACATTGATTGACTTCTCTCTCGACTACGCACTATATGTAGTAACCCAACTGATTCAGGACTGGAGAGCTAGGAGACTATATGTCTTTTTTGTTTGTTTTTTCTACATTTCTAGCAAGTTTTGTTATTCTACCTTTTCTCACTAAGTGCCTATGATATATTTATTATAAACTTTACATTTTTGTTTTAGTAACAAGTTGTTTTTTCACTCTGTCCTTAATACTATTCAATATTTTCGAATGAAACATTATAATTTTAGTTAATGTTCATGGTCCATTTTTCTTTTTAATGTCATCAAATATCCTAAACAGATATATTCCTGGACCATCTCCAGCTCTTCATCTTCTCTTCTTGTGACCTCTTCATCCTCTGTTCTTATAGTGATTTTCCAAGCGTTGTTTAGATGTGGCACAAGGCCGAAAATATGGGGCATCCAGTGGGAATCGAACTAACTACTCGGTTGTAATTGTTCTAGCGAGACAAGCTTGTTAACCATTACACCACCTCGGGGTGCCCTATCCTCTGTTCTTATATGTTCGGAATGTTACATTTGAACATTACTTCTGTCTTATCTCTGTTCACATTTACACTCACATCGCGACTGTCCAAAATCGGGTCACTTCCCATGTCTTATAATTCATTCAATGATTTTGATATTTGGGGTCAGCAAATCGTAGATATTCTCCGTTTATGTCTGCCCTCAATTTCTTCCTGTCCGTGAGACCCAGGTTTCGAATTTTACTGAAGTCGATTCGTCAGGAAGTTTGACCTCTTTTATGCTTTTTGGTCTGAAAAATTAGGCGCTATGAGCTAAAATGGTACTGTTGAATGTGTCTCGGAATGTTTAATTTGGGTTGACTTTTCAAGCCCTGTCATGAAATTGGGTCGATGGAAGTGTTGGGAATAGCACAAAGTCACAAGACATTGTGACCGAGAGTTATTTTTAACCCCCCCCCCCCACCCAATACTGGAATTTTCAAGCACTTCTTCAATAGGATCAAAATTCTCCTAAAACTAGTCATTTTCATCACTAGCCTTGTAACATATACGAAAAGATATATATATATATATATATATATATATATATATATATATATATATATACTGTTTCAGGATAGATAGATAGATAGATAGAAGATAGATAGATAGATATATGACAGTTAGATACAAAAAAGATCAGACAGATATAAAAAAAATAGATAGATAGATATGAACAGATTGACAATAGATAGATGAGTGACTGTGATAGATAGATAGATAGATTAGAATAGATAGATAGATAGATAGATGGGGAACATGGATGATAGATAGATAGATAGATAGATAGATAGATAGATAGATAGATAGATAGATAAGACGAGTTAGATAAAAAAAGACTCAGACAGATATAAAAAGTCAATAGATAGATCGATATGAACAGATTGAGATAGATAGATAGATAGATAGATAGATAGATAGATAGATAAGACGAGTTATATAAAAAAACAGACTGTGGCAGATATAAAAGGTCGAGAGATAGTTCGATATGAACAAATTAAGATAAATTGATAGATAATTAGATAGGTATGAACAAACTGCAATAGATAGATAGATAGATAGATAGATAGATAGATAGATAGATAGATAGATAGATAGATAGATAGTAAATAGATATATCTGAATAGATGCAATAGATAATAGATAGATAGATAGATAGATAGATAGATAGATAGAAGATAGAGAAAGATAGATAGATAGATAGATAGATAGATAGATAGATAGAATAGATAGATAGATAAATATGATGTTATTAAAATAGATAGATAGATAGATAGATAGATAGATAGATAGATAGATAGATAGATGAATAAATAAGGATAGATAGATAGATAGATAGATAGATAGATAGATAGATAGATAAAGAAGCCAAGATAGATAGATAGATAGATAGATAGATAGATAGATAGATAAAGAAGCCAAGATAGATAGATAGATAGATAGATAGATAGATAGATAGATAGATAAGCCGAGACAGAGAGAGGGATAAAGATAGAGAGAGAGAATGAGTGTATGAGAGAGCGGGACGGGTGTGAGAGATGGGGTTGGGTTCGAGTGTGACGGATAGGAAAATTGTAAATGCCTTCATTTCTTGTTCGGTTTCTTCTCCCATTTAATAAATTATCCAATAAACGTTGAGAAATGACCCCTGGCTTGAAAATCATTTCCTCTTTTTGTCTGTGCAAAGACTTAACCCAGACGACCACAACATAACCGAAACCGCCTCCCAATCGCGGCGCGCCTAAATATAACTCGGTCGTCGAATGTAACAGAATCAGTCAGGTGTTCGGATAATTGTAAGCGACATAAGCACGCCAAATGCGATCTATCCCTAACTGGCCAATCAGAAAATCAACAGCCAGGACAGCAATGTCTAATTTGTAGTTTTAGCTGAAGCACCATCGAGACATGGTATCCCGATCCATAGCTTCAAAAACGTCTTTCAACCTATTGCACATCATCTTTCTTTTTATTTCACTCGCTATAAGGCTCGAGAGCCGATCAAGGCAGTAGGTTAGAAAACAATGTGTGGGATAAGAATATAAATGAAGGTAAATGAAGAGAATGGGGATGAAGTGACCCTTGACTTTTAAGAATATAAGATCGTAGTATTCATGGATGTATCCACGCTGGAATTTGTTGCACAGTTCTTGGAGGAAAAGCTGAGTGGAACTTCCTCCTTACGGTTGGAATATGGAGGAAATGAGGCTAATTCGGTTCAGTGGATGTTGTATGGTGGGTTCCAGCTGGTAACGCCCGAACTAGTGAAATTAAAAAATGGGGCGCTGAACTGAACACTTGCCATGGAAATAGCGATAGACTTGCAACGTTGAGTCTGTTGGAATGAGGCTATAGAGTGTTTGACTGCTGGTTTTGCTTTTATTGTCATGTGTGTGTGTGTTTTTATATATTTTTTTCAATATAGAAATTTTTTGGATCAGATCTGTGAAGAATTCACTTTTATGAGGATAAGGAGGATAGATAACAAATGACCTTTGACTCGAAGAGGTTAAGATTATAGCTTAAAGGGTTACTGTTGAAAATTGTAATGATGTGTGTGATATGAATGAAAGAGGAAGTACAGTGTGACCCGGATATAAGAGAAACCCGGATATAAGAGAAACCCGGATATAAGAGAAACCCGGATATAAGAGAAACCCGGATATAAGAGAAATTTTTCTGGTCCCAAATTAGAGCCTGTGTTAATGTATATAAAATAGACCAAACCCGGATATAAAAAGAAATCGGATTTAAGAGACTTTTCTCCGGTTTTGACAACTCTCTTATCCAAAAATTTTCTTAAAAAGAAGTGAGGATAATAGAGGATAGATAAAAATTGACCTAAAATTGCTTTTGAATAAAAGATTCTGATGTAGAGGTTTACTGTTCAAAACTGTAATGGTGAATGAGGTGTGTGACAGGAATCAAGGAGGCGGTAGTAGGAAATGAAAATTATGAGGATACGGAGGATAGACAAAAATTGAACTTTTGACGTAAAGAGTCTAAGATTGTAGCGTAGAGGTTTACTGTTAAAAAATGTAATAGTGAATGAGATGTGTAATATGAATGAAAGTGGAGATAGGAGAAAGTGAAACTGATGGGGATGGGGAGGATAGATAACGATTGACCCTTTATTAAGGTTAAGATTATCATTATCAGGAAAGCATCTGTATGAGAGTCTGTTTCACAAAGCAGTATTTCTCGGGATAAAATGTGAACGTCCTCCTTACAAATGGAATAGAGGGGGGAATGTAGGTGATTCGATAACCTTGAACGGAGTATGGTGTGTCTAACTAATTAATAGCACACAACTGAACAGTTGCCATGGAAATAGTGATGCGCATTATGTCTGCGGGGAAAGAGGTTGTAGAGTGGAAAACAAACCTTTTCAGCATGTGTAAAGCGTATTAAAAATATTTACCAGCTTCAATGTCCGAGAGATTTCATAGAAAATGTGTCCTCCGACAGGAATCCAAACCATGGGAAATTTGTAGTTTAAAAGCAGTAATTCGACATTGAGAAATAGACGCTTCCTTCGTAGCTAAATGGTATAGCACGTCAGTCTATATGCCTGTTCCGTGTAGGATACAGGTTCGATTCCCGTCGGAAGACCTATATTTTCTATGAAATTTCTCAGACATTCAGGCCGGTAAATGTTGTTAATACTGTTTATTATAAACAGAGCACTTACTTAAATATCTCTATCTATATAAATAACGTATAACTATAAATACATATAATTGTCGGATGTAGTTCATTTCATTAATTATATATATATATAAATTAAAACATTTTATGTTTAACGTTAATTTTTTATAGATACATGTATTTATATATGGATAAATGCTCTGTTTATAATATATTTTTTTATTAAATAAACGAACGATCCTTCAATGGCCGAGAGGGGAAGCACGTCATTAAATGACGTTGAAAAGGATGCAGCACAGAAATCCTGTCAACGGACGAATATTTTCTATGAAAATTTCTTTCGGACATTCAGGCCGGTAAATGTTATTTAATACTGTTTATTATAAACAGAGCATTTACTTAAATACTTGTATCTATGAAAATAAAGAACGTTAAACATAAAAATGTCTTTAATAAATAAATTGTTAATGTTTAGTCCATTTCCAATTTATATAATATATATATTATTAAAAAGAAGGGGTAAAAAACGTTTTTTAAAAAATGTGGATTTATTGAAAAAAATATTATACTTTGTTTTACATAATTTCACGACACGTGTTTCCAATAAAGTCTCGCAACCGTCTTCAGGTGAAAGTGGAGATTTTACATATTATTAAAAATAATTAATTTTTCTTCATGTTCAATGTGGAATATTCTCGATATGAGACATTCTGAGACAAGAAATGAATTTTCTAAACTAGAATTGTCAATGAAATTATTATGCGTGAAGGGTCATAAAAAATTAAGGTTTGTCCAGCGAGTGTGTTATCGGCATTTAATCTTTTAATGTTTTGTGATTTTGGATAATATATTAATATATGTGTTTTTACGAAAAACTCGTAGTAACAAAATATACGCACGCATATATACACGCATGCTGACAGGAACACGCCAAAATAGAAACAGATCCAAGAGCACATAGAGGTCACTAAAACATTAAAAGATTAAATGCCGATAACTACTCGCTGGACAAACCTTAATTGTTTTATGACCCTTCACGCAGAACTCTTCATTGACAATTCTAGAAAGAAAATTCGGATTGCTAACACACAAAACAGAATGTCTCATATCGAGAATATTCCACATTGAACATGAAGAAAATTAATTATTTTTAATAATATGTAAAAATCTCCACTTTCACCTGAAGACGGTTTTGAGACCAGACCAGAAACACGTGTCGTGAAATTATGTAAAACAAAGTATAATATTTTTTCTCAATAAATCCACATTACAACCAAAAACGTTTGCGGCACCTCTTCTTTTTAATATACATACTTTTCTCTCGTTGGAACCACTACAACATATTTCTTTTTATATATATATATATATATAAAACTTATGTATAGGTTTATATATATATTCACTATTCTTGGCAAATCTTTTATTATCACAATGTGGGATACTTAATACCAAAATTGATGAAAACATAAGGAATTGAAATTGAACAGACAATTTACCCAAAGGTCCGTGTGTCTGTAATAATCAAACAATCGAACCAATAAATGCCGTTTATTATTATTATTATTATTATTATTATTATTATTATTACTGTTATCAATTCTCAAGAACAAAATGATATATATAAATCCAAAATCCATCATATGTTCCGGTTTTATTACAATTCTAATCATCGCTTTTTAAAACAATGCCGACGAGCGAAGGTATTAAAATAATAGCGGCGTCAAGGGTAAAAAGTCGTCCTAAATACACACGGTTATTTTGAGGTCAGGGAAGATCAAAGTTTTCCAAAATTTTTAATAATGCGGGGCGTGTATGAATGTGTGCATATATTGTGTGTGTGTGATGATTGTTTCATATATTTTTGGGGGCATATTGTATGTGTGTAATGTGTTATGCGCTTTATGTGTGTTGTGTGTGTGTATGTTTCAAATATTTGTGTGTGCATGTGTGTGTGCAATATTTCCAAATTATTTTAATTATATATTTTAAAAATAAATTATTTATATATATATTTATAAATATATATTTATATATATATATATGCATATTATATTTATATAATATTCCAAATATAAAACTAAATAAAAATATATTGTGTGTGTGTGTGGATGTTTTTGAATGTCAAATTCATGTATAAAATTTTTACAAAAAATTGTGCGTGTAAATGAAAAGTGTGTTATGGGTGCTTTGCATATTGTGTGTGTTTACGTGTCTTATTTATAATATATGAGAAAGTATTGAAGAAAGATGGTAACAAACAATGTGTAAATGTGTGTTGCGTTAAATTTTATGCCATTTGTGCATGCGTTTGACTGACACCATTGTGTTTTGACTGTGTTATACGATGTATATCATCAAATATTTTATAAAAGATTGAAGAAATGTTATGAAAACGTTGTGTTTTAAATAGTTGCATTTTCTTTCTAAAATGGTTTAGGAATTGTTATTAACCTCGGCAGGGGGTTGTATGTATAATGGATTATATCGTTCATTGCTTTTCAATAATATATGTAATTGGCGCGCATTTGATGACAATAAAATAAGTTAATAGTATTTTTGTTGCGTTTTAAATCAGTATTTTTATGACAGCTGCCGTGATTAATTGTCTGCAAAAAATAATAGTGATAATAATAATGTCATTTGTTCATCGACAGTGTGATTTCGAAAGACGTTATTACAAATGTTTAATATTAGATAATTCTTTAGAGAAAATCAAAAAAAAGAGGAGATTAATTTCGCTGGGTTGATAAGGTTTTTATGACTGCTATCTCGTATCGACAAAGACATTAATTTTGATTGACGTTCAAATATTTTAATGGTTAAAGTAGATGCTTTGTAAAAGGAACCTATAAAGCACTGATAATTGAAATCAATAAGAATGCAGGAAATTCGCTCGTCCTGCTTTTTTTTTTTATATATTAAATATCCGAACGTTCAAATTCCATTACAATAATAAAAAACAAAATAAATAAATAAAGGACACATTTATATTTACAAACATATGTGCGTGAATTCA